CAGTGTCCTGGGGCTGAGCCCTGCCTGGTCCCACAGTGTCAGTGTCCTGGGGCTGAGCCCTGCCTGGTCCCACAGTGTCTGGCATCCTCCTGGGTTAGTTTTGTTCCAAGCCTCTTCCCACGACCTGGGTGGGAAGGTCTGAATGTGGTTGTGTCCCTGGCCTGGCACAAACGCTAAAGTGCGCTTGGAGAGTCAGATTCAGACTTGGGAGATGGGAGTCCAGGCCGGTTCCACTCCGTCCTCGGATGACCATGAGGCTTCCCACCTGGGAGACGAGAGCCACAGGTCTGTTCTCCTAGGAAGGTGACACCGTTAGGAAGTAAGAAATTGCATTTGTGCACCACTCTCCACCCCCAAATGCCAAAGCTTCCCGCCGGTCCACGCAGGCGCACAGCTCATGTAGCACTGGGCGAGTGTGTGTACACGTCCCCTCGGCCCTTTTCTTTATCCCTCACTGTCCACTCTGGGCGTCGAGAGTGTCCGAGTTCTCCCTGAGCTCCTGATGCCCCGACGGCACCTGCATCTTCAGGGATGTAACTGTTGTCTGACATCCTCCTCCAGCGCTGTCCCGAGGCAGGAGGCCACCGGCCTCCTCTCCCTTCCTGCTCCGCCGTCCCCGCCCTCCCACCCTACACTCACTGGTGATGCCCGTGTGGCCCCTGCCGCCTCTGCAGGTGCAGAAGAGAGCAGGGACCTAAACACCTGCCCAGGGGGAGGATTCCCGGGGCTCCTGGCCTCCCTCTGGGGGGCAGCCACTCCGTGCTGCGCAGCCAGCAGCTGGGGTTCCCTGTGACAGTGTTGGGGAGATGCCCTGTTGGCCTCTACCCATCACATCACTTAGGCTGTTCTTTTATAAGGGATGCTAATTACATAACTCATGATTCATCAATTCACTCAACACACCCTTACTGAGCACTTGTCCGTGATCCCTCATTGATGGTGCAGCAGGAGGCCACTGAACTCTGAACCTTAGTGCTGATGTCTGTGAGCCTGAGGCCACCAGCCCCCATAGCACCTTTGTTTAAAGCACAGACCAAGCATCAAACTGTAGCATTCTTTGGAGGCTGACACCCGAGCCCCGGTGTCAGGATCAAAGCTCTCTTGACAGAACGGTGTGGCTCTTCTGCAAACTCCCACCAGATAATCCAGCTGTTGAAAAATCTGAGATAGCGACCTAAGACATTGCTATGAGTCCTCCTCATCATAGCCTCTGATGACCCCATGTCTGCGAGGACCACACAGCCCCAGAGACATGGCTAATCCCACGTGCACAGTCGTGACCTCCTCACCACACTCGCCTTCTTACGGTCCTCCCCATATCCCGGTCACCCCAGGGACAGAGCAGTTCCCAAGCAGTCACTTTCAGGGCAAGCTGTGGTCACGGGGAACGTCAGCCAGCATCTGACCTCACCCTGCAGACACGGTCCTGCTCCCTCCTCCCTCCGTGGCAAAGCAGTGTCCCAAAGCAGTGTCCCTAAGTAGGACACTCCGAGTGAGGTGGGGGGGGCAGGTGTTGGGAGACAAAGCCCTCCCACACGGGACTTCTCCAGGGAGCAGGTGTCTGGTGATCCAGGGAATGGGGACACCCCCTTCATGGTACATCAGCTGTTGGGGTGCGTGAGGACTCGTCTGAGAGCAAACACCAGTGGGGACGTGCTGGGCGAGCAGGTGGTGAGCCGCCCCCTGCCTCTTTCGCAGGTGCAGGCCACCGGACGCGAGCTCTTCCAGCAGGTGTGCGACCTGACAAGCATCCGGGATGCCCACTTCTTTGGCCTCAGCGTGGTCAGAAGTAAGCAAGCATTGCCCCGAACGACCCCACCCGGTGGACCACCACCCAGGGCGGCCTCCGCGGGGGCGGGGGGCTGAGTCTGAAGGATACCCCAGGCCTCCGCCTGGTGCCCACGCCATGCTCACGTGTTCCAGTGAGCACCCAGGCTGTCTGGGTGATTCTGTGCTGTGTCTGAGCACACTCGCGCACACACTTACATACACACTCAGTCACACACACTCACACATTTACGTACTCATTTACACGCTCACACTTATATACTCAGTCACACTGGCACATATGCACACACATGCACACTTACATATTCTCACACGCAGGTGCTCACACTTTTAACCTACTCATACACGCACATTAAAACACATACGCACACACACACATACACACACGCACACACTTGCATATCCACACACATATACACTTACACACATACATACTTGCACACACTCATACTTACATACTCACATATACTCATAAATGCACACACATACACTCACACTTGCATGCTCACATGCACTCACTCTCCCTTCTCAGGAGAGATGGGAGAGCAGACTCCCTCACTGGCTCTTGCCCTTTCTGGAATGGCAGGCTAGGTCCACTCCTTTGATCTGCTCTTCTGGGAGCCATTTGTACCAGGGGTCCTGGAAACGTTTGTCTGTAGCAGACCCTGGGTCCGAGGAAACCTCCCTGGTTCCTGTGTAGGAAACCTAGGAGTGGATGCCCTGGCAGGAGGAGGTGGGGTGGAGCCGGCCTCATCTCCCTGCCCCGGGGCCCTCTGTGAGTCCCCAGCTCCCGGGCCTCTGCAGACCCCAGCGTCCATGGACGAGTGCCGGGTGGGAGAGAGGTGCAGCCGAGGGGCTGCCTGTGTGGGGAGACCCTAGTGCCGCCCCGCACAGCACTCTGACGGGCGTGTGGCCTCAGACTAGGGCACGTGAGCCCCTGGCTGTGCCCAGAAGCAGATGGTGGTGCTGCCTGCGTGCAGTTCTTTACGTGGCTAGGGTGGCTCTCATCTATCCTTGGGGGCTCTGGGATTATCAGTATAGGGCACCCCTTTCCCAACCAAGGTAAGGAGACAGACAGATGGAGATGAAACATGTCAGCTCTGTCACAACCAGCCCTCTGCCTGGTCCTCTGGTGTCTGCCCCCAGCCGCGGGGGGTGGACCAGCATCCCTCCTCAGTGTCCAAGTGAGAGAGGAGGGGGGAGAAGGGGAAGGGGATGCCCCCCAGGGGCCACTAGGCACTAGGACTCTGGTCCCTCCCCTGGCCTTGTGGCAGCTTTGTCCTGCAGATTGTAAAGTATTTTTCCTGAAGGACGCAATCCTGCGCGGCCCCTACGTGATGTCCCGGAGTCTTATTCCCACATTGGATTTCCTTGCTCCCGGCTGGCAGACAAGGTTCTGGAGTTGGGGCCCCCTGACCCTTTGGGGCTCAGACAGAATGGGAACTACAGAAAGACACATTACAGACAGGCGGGCTCGGTACCCAGCGTGTGGTTCATACCTGGGAGCAGCAGATTTCGCTTTTGTTGTTAAATTTTAATATTGGTGGACTTTTCCCAGTTTGCAGGGAAAGCTGAGTTAATGGGTAGCTTTGCCCCAATTTAACGTTTTTGTCCACAACCACTGTTTTAACCGCTGGACGCCAGCTGCTCTGTGTCTGGGGACACACAGACAACAAATCAGAGGAAACTCGTGTTTATATAGAAGCTTGACTCATTTGGGGAGGAGGGTGTGTGCCTGTGGTTGGGTCTCGTGCTTTGTACCTGTCATCTTGTTCTAGAATCGTCCTGTTCATGGGACTGAGGTCATCATCACTGTGGAAAGCCCCTCGACTTGCTGGTGGGCCCTGGAGGAGGCCGAGTTGGGGGGCCTGGAGGCAGAGGGCTGGGGACCCCACTGGCTTCACAGGCACAGGTCTCATCTGACAGGACTGAGCCCACCTGAGTGAGGAAGCGTGGGGGGGGGGCAGTAATACTTGGTGAATTCGTGGTGGAACTCCCTGCAGACCCGACCCTGGGGTGGGTGCGGGCTTGGGGCCCTGCCCCTCTGGGACGCCGTGGGGGGCGGAGTGCCCTCCTCTTCCTGAGCTTCGTCACTTGAGAGCCTGCGTCGCTCGGGCCCCCTCAGGGGCTTAGAGGAGGGCCCCTCTCGTTCTGCACAGCTGCCAGCCCATTCGCCTGCCCCTGCCACAGCCCCGCTGGGGTTCTGGGCATGGGACGTGCGTGGACAGGCATGCGGGGAGTGTTCCGGGCTCGGGTACAGTGGGTGGGTGTGTTGTGGCTCCAGACGCAGGAGTGAAGAAATACCCCAAGCCCTGGGGTAGGCGCTTTCTTTGGGCGGGCGGCATCTTTGCCAGCCGTGCAGGGCCCCCATCCAGGGCTTGTCGTCGGGACCATCTCTGAGGGGCGTGGGGTTGTTCTGGGGTGGGAGCTATGGCCCCTTCTCCTTCTAGCTGTTCTCCCATAAACAAAGGGCCACAGGGTGCTCTGCTTTTCAATAGTGGTGAGATTCACTACAAAGACGACAATGCTTACTTTAGGGAGTCGGTTCTGTCCTTGGGGTCTGTGGCTGGTGTCACCCCTCCACGGGTTTAAGAATGAAAAGAAAATCAGTCTGGAGGAAAGTGAGAAGAAAGTCGAGTGTCTCCACCTTGATCTTTTATTCTCTTATTTAGTAGACGGTTTAAAGTGTCTTGTAACAAAAGAAGAAATCAAGAGGGAGTTGGGGGATGCCCCGGAAACCCTGGAGCAATGGAGGAGGGGTCCATTTTGTTGCGGATCAAATAAACAGTAGAAGGGCAGTCACCAACATGGTGGAAACAGCCATCCTGGGATGGTGGTGTGCTGGGTCTCTGCTCCGTTCTGCCTTCTGTGTTCTGGGTTTTCTGCACGGAGACCACACTACTCTCATTCAGTCGGGGGAAGCCCCAAAGCGTCCCCCTACACTGAACGGTGAGCTTCCCCCGGCGGGGGAAGTGGGCCCTGACCAAGGGGAATTGAGCTGGCCTCTCTCAGGTGTCTCTCTGCCACCTGCTGCCTGGGAGCCTTCCAGAAAGAATGCCTTTCCTTCTGTGTTTCAGGGGGGCTCTTAGCAATGTGGCAGGTGAGTCGTGGTTGCTGTCCACACAATTTTAGAATTGCCTAGAATTCCTCCGGGACCTGGTGCTGGCAGCCCCAGCCCCGCTCATGCTCAGATCTACTGGCACCTGCAAGCCGTGGGTTTGCAGCTGTCCTTCCCGTGTCTCACTGCAGCCACCAACACTCTGGCTTCTATCTCTTGTTTTCCAAAATCTTGGCTGCTGTATATCCATTGTCACCCACCCCTGTAACCTCAATAGAATCTCCGGGACAGACAGCCCTGCATGCTCAGCCTGGTCTAGAACTCTGAGCTTATGCATCTTCGTTCTTACAGGCGGCCCAGAATTCCATTTATGTACGTCCCACCTCTGACCACAGGACCACGAGAGTTGTCCCCCTCTTCCAGGATCAGGTGTGCTGTGATGGGCATCCTATATAGAACACAGCTTTTCACACTGTGAGATTATGACCTTAAATTAAAATCTTAGAAGTGGGCTCACACGTTCCAACATAGACACGTTTCAGGTTTTAACAGAGGGCGGCAGCTGCCTGACGGCAGTGGACTCACGCCCCACCGTGTACCGCGTACACAGCCTGGGGGCGCCTCCCCACCCTGTTTGCACTGGTCGTTGCGTCTGACCAACATCTACACTTTCATTTATGCTTTTTCAAAAGTTATCGTTCGTGTGTTGAGCATCTCAAGCAGGATTAGGTCTCAGCAGACTGAGCAGAGTGGAGGAGGGATCCACGAGAGGCAGCGTCTCCCCTGGGAAGGTCCCCTGGCATGGGGCGGGGGCGGGCGTCGTCCCTCCACCCTCAGCCCTCGAGGAGTCCTGGCACCTCTTCTGCCCTCCGCGTCCACCCCTGCTTTTCCTTCTCCAGCTCTCCTTATGACCTCGTTCAACCTGACTTTCCATGTAACTTTTTGTGATCACCTAGTTAGAGTGTTGGAACCATAGGACACCGCATGGTAAAGAGTCAACAGTACAAAAAGTGGGTCTTCAATGAAAACTGCATCGCCCTCCTCCCGGGGACCCTGCGGCGGGTTGGAGGTCCTTCCAGAAGGACTCATCTTAGACCCTTCGAAGTCCACACCCTCACCCAGGAAAGAGCGGGTCTGAGAAGGTCAGGCAGGCAGTGGGGGCCTCTGCCCCACCTGCGGGGAGGAGCAGGGCCCTGGGCTCCCGCTCCTGAGGGCCAGCCTCTTGGCAGACCCCAGACTCTGCAAAGATACCTCTTCTCCCCACTCCTGGGGGGACACGGGGGCTGCTTGGTTCCCACAGGCCTGGGATTACAAGGCCCACGTCCCGAAATTTCATTAAGTCTGGAATGCAGCTGCATTCCGGGGGTGGGGAGGGTGGGGAGGGTGGAGGGGGCAGGCAGATTGGATGGTGGGGCTGAGCCCTCCCCCGCAGGATGTCCCCTGGGCGTGGGGCGTGGACAGTGATACCCCCACCACGGGGCAGGGGCTCTCTGGGGTCCCTTGCTCTCAGCCTCACGCACAGAACTCCAAGGAGGAGCCTCGGTGGGCTTTTCGGGCCCTGCCCAGGCCCTGGAGGCTGCGACAGGTAGTTGGAAGTAACCACGCCCTCTCTCCTATGTGAATTATTTTTAAAACTGTGGGGACAGCCAGTGTCTTAGGGACCAGGGTCCTCACTGTGCTGAAGGCATCTGAAAGCAAATTGGGATCTTTGTGACTGACTGAGCTGCAAGTCCGGCCTCTCCCTCGGGAGCTTTGAGTCTTAGACTTGGAAGAGACGCTAAGATTTTTTTTTAAAAAACTTTATTTTAGAGCAGTTTTAGGTTCACAGCAGAATTGAGTGGCAAGTAGAGAGGTTTCCCATATACTCCCTTCTCCCACATATGCACAGCCTCCCCTATTACAACTTCCCCACCAGAGTGGGACACTGGTTACAATTGGCGAGCGAACACTGACACATCATGATCACCCAGAGTCCATATTTACATTACGGTTCACTCTTGGTGCTGTACACTCTATCGGTTTGGACAAATGTATAATGACATGTATCCACTCTCATGGTATATGCAGAGTATTTCACTGCCCCAAAAATCCTCTGTGCTCCGCCCATTCATCCCTCCCTTCCCACACCCCAGCAACCACTAATATTTTTTTCTGTCTCCATAGTTTTACCTTTTCCAGCATGTCATATAGTTGGAATCATACAGTCTGCAGCCTTTTCAGATTGGCTTCTTTCACTTAGTAATATGCATTTCAGGTTCCTTCATGTCTTTTCATGGCTTGATTGCTCAATTCTTTTTAGTACTGAGTAACACCCCATTGTCTGGAGGGACCACAGTTTATTTATCCAACACCCACTTAAGGGCACCTTGCATTTAAGAGCTCTGATCCAGCATCTGCCCCCTGCCAGCAGGACTGTCAGGGGAGCAAGGAGGTGGCCTGGGCAGGGTGGAGGGCTGGGTTCCTTCCTGCTTTCTTTGGGGACTGCACTCGAGGGTGGTATTTCCTGTCACCTGGTTCAGGGCTCTGTTTATTTTTTAGTGTCAGGAAACAACTGGAAGCTGCAGGGAGGGGGTGGGAGTGAGGGACCCAGCGGATGTGGTCAGATTGGAGGGGAAGGAGACGGCACGAGGCCCTGCAGGGGTGGCATCTCAGAGCCCCAGGTTCCAAGTCGTGAACGGGGAGCTTGGAACCCAAGGACCCTCAGGAGGGACGATGCTCGAGCACTGATGTCCTGGGGCCCCTTGAGCTGTGTGAGATGGTCTCTGTCACGTCCTTGGAGTCCTGGGAGGAGCAGACCCCTGTGCTAGTCAGCTCAGGCTGCCGTGACAAACACCTCAGACGGGGCGGCTCAGAGGACAGGAATTACTGTCTCAGGGTCCTGGAGGCTGGAGCTCCCAGATCAGGTGTGGGCAGGGCTGGTTTCTCCTGAACCCTCTCTCCTGGTGTGCAGACAGCCGTCTTCTCCCTGTGCCTTCACATGGTCATCCCTCTGTGCTTATCTGGTTCCCAACCTCCTCCTCTTATAGGGACACCAGTCATATGGGATTAGGGACCACCCTAGTGGCCTCATTTTGCCTTAATCACCTCTGTAAAGGCCCTGTCTCCAAATTCACATTTAGAGGTGCTGGGGTTGGGGCTCCAACGTTGTGAATTTGGGGGACACAGTTCAGCCCACAACAGGAGACATGTCCAATCCTGATGAGAATGAGGAGACACAGCGAACCTCCCTCCTGTCTCACCCACCTGTCAGAGAAGGCCCCACATGCAGGGCAAGGACTGGGTGGACCGCTGTGCCCGGTGACCCCGGAAGCACCTCCCGAGGCCAGGGCTACTGGGCCACAAGGTGAGCCCCATCCCTCAACTCCCCAACACTGCAGGAAGCCTCTCCAGATGTCCCCGTCACAGCCAGGACTAGCCGGACACTGGGCCTGCCCTGTGTCTACACGCGCGAACGCCGCCTGCGGAGCCCAGGGCCCACGTGTCAGACTATTCTGCTTGTCACCAAGGAGGGGCCTGCAAGGTGGCAGCTGGAACTCGGGGTGGTCGCAGACCACAGAAAAGGGCAAAGAGTAACCCTGCAAGGTAGCTTTGTTGACACGCTCTCACCGTCAGGCTCGGCCACGGCTCCCACCACCCCTGCAGCGGCTGCTCCTGGCCCTTCCTGGTAACAGTTTCCTCGTCAGCGTGTACGGGCCCATGGGTCATCTTGTGCCGGCCCTCAGCCCTGACAGTAACAGAGAGAGGCCCTCTGGGTTTATGTTCCTCTCTAGGATAATTGTTTCATTTTTCCAGCTTCTAAAGGAAATACATGGTTGTAACAGTCCAAAAATGCAGAAACTTATGTTTAGGAAGAAGTGTCTCCTGTGATCCCCTTCCCAGCACAGCCAGGTTAACATGCGTTGTTGACCTGAAGCTGGTGGATTTGGGTCCAGATTTACAGGCATTTTATTTTTAAAGGACTTAGTTCAGAGCTGGGAGAGGGGCATGGGGTTGGGGGTTAGGTCGTGTGGACATGGATTGTCAAACTGCCTTCCCGAACGTTGTGCCCAGTAGCAAGTGTTAGTTTCAATGTCTAACTTTCCTCCGCTTGGGAGAACCGTCCTGTGCAGCCAGCATGTCTGACACTGGGACACAGTGACCCGCTCTCTCAGACTGCTACCTCGAGACAGCAGCCACAAGCTGCTCTGGTCGGACGTCAGCCGGCTCTCAGCCACACTGCGTTGTTAAATGGTGACGCAAGGGTGGTGGGGATGCTCTGATGAAGGCCCTGCGTCTCCTTCTAGACAACGAGTATGTATTTATGGATTTGGAGCAGAAGCTCAGCAAATACTTCTCAAAGGACTGGAAGAGAGAAATGCATCAAGTAAGTTAAACTGTAGGTGGGGGGTAGGGTGGAGGCGCCTCAGGAGGGCCCCCTGCTGGAGCCCCAAGAAGGGGCACCCCGTGTCTGGGACTGGCGCTGGGGCCAGGACACGGCGTGTGGTGCAGTGGTCCCTGCTCTGCACAGATGGGCAGTCCGGATGCATGGCATGCCTGCCGCCCTGTGGAGTCCTGGGGCTGCCTCTCGTGGGGTCGGCCATGGTGCACAGCCAGCCCAACGGTGGTGTAGGTGAATGCTCTTGAATGCTACAGACAACTTTCCACTTGGTTTTTCCTATTAACAAACTCAGATAGAATCATGCACCGCCCCAGCTGCTAAGACCCGAGTGTGAGTTGAGAGCTGGTATGAATGATGTCAGGCGTCTACCTTGTTGAGAACACCATCCAACTGTCCACTGTCCGCTGAGGGCGGCTTATATGGCCTTGCTTCTCTCTACGCTTCCACCCCACAGGGAAATGGGAGATCCGGTGCCCCCTTCGTGGCCTTCCTCAGAGTGCAATACTACGTGGAAAATGGAAGGCTCATAAGGTAATCGCTGACTGATTTTAAAGGGCATTCTCTGAATGGTGGAACTCCGCCAAGGGGAACTGTAAGTCATATGAAGAACGTGACTCTGCTGTTGCCTTGGGGCTGGGGGGCACAGTAAATCTGCTCAACCGAAATATGTGAAGGCTGTGTCACAAAGATAAGGCTTCTTCACGCGCAGGCGTCTTCATTCTCTGGGGTGGGTACTTTCACGTGAGGGGTGTTGGGAGGGTTTGAAGATTTCCATTTTACACTGGAGCTCTCCTTCCACGTGGCGTGTTCCTGCTCTCAGCTGCACAGCTGCTGGTGTCTGGGCCTGGGTGGGAAAGGTTTCCAGCAAGCACACCTGGTGGGCTTCCTTCTGAGTTACGGGAGCTGCTTTCTCAAGAGATCCACCCTAGAACTTGTAGGGTCACTCAGAGCTTCCTGGAACTTTCCAGGGACCTGAGTTACTCCCAGACCAGGGGCAGGTGAGGAGGCCCTGTGTCCCCAGGAATTCCCTGAGTAGGTACAGGTGGGCCGGCAGCCTCCACAAGCCTTCTCAGGTTAAGAGACGGGGAGGAAGGGGTGTGTGGTTGTGTGGAAGGTTCTGGAGTGTGAGGGTGTGTATGGTTGTGTGGAAAGTTCTGGAGCATAAGGGTGTGTGGTTGTGTGGAAGGTTCTGGAGTATGAGGGTGTGTGGTTGTGTGGAAAATTCTGGAGAGTGAGGGTGTGTGGTTGTGTGGAAGGTTCTGGAAAGTGAGGGTGTGTGGTGTGTGGAAGGTTCTGGAAAGTGAGGGTGTGTGGTGTGTCGAAGGTTCTGGCAAGTGAGGGTGTGTGGTGTGTGGAAGGTTCTAGAATGTGAGAGTGTGTGGTTGTGTGGCAGGTTCTGGAGAGTGAGGGTGTGTGTGGCTGTGAGGAAGGTTCGGGAGAAGTCATGGAGGGAGAACTGGAGGTGTGGGGTGATGGAGGGTAGCTACTCTGTGCCCTGGGGCCAACTGTGGTCAGCAGTGTTAGAAGACCTTGAACTTGCCCTTCCCAGGGCTGAGTCTCCCGGCTCCCTGTGGCTGTCGGGAAATGAACAGAGGAAAGGGCTCGCCTGTTGGGAATGAGCGTCTGTATACTGGGTCTGCCCTGGTACCAGCGGGTTCAGATAGCCCTGCTCGTGGGCGCTTCCCTGGAGGGCTGTGTGGCCCGTGGTGTGACAAGACAAGGACATGACTACCTGGAGCCCAGGGAGGGCCTGGGAGCGGGGCAGCAGGAGGGCCGCAGGCTGTGGCGGGACCTCACCAAGACCTCCTGCGTCCTGCAGGGACAAGAGGGCCAGGCACCTGTACTACTGCCACCTGAAGGAGCGGGTGCTGAGGTCCCAGTGTGCCCACCGGGAGGAGGCCTACTTCCTGCTGGCCGCCTACGGGCTGCAGGCCGACCTGGGCAACCACCGGGAGCCGGCCCACATCGGGAGGTACTTCGAGCCACACGCCTACTTCCCGCAGTGGGTAAGGCCGCCCTGGCTCCGCGGCTCCCCTGCCCAGAGAGAGCCTCCTCTCCGGCCCGGCCGTGGGGCGCAGGCCACGGGGAGCAGGGGCAGGAGGAAGGGCAGGCAGGCCTGACGTGCCTGTGGCTCCTTCCCCAGATCATCAGCAGGAGGGGCAGCGCCTACATCCTCAGGCACGCGCCCGCCATGCACCGCGAGCAGCGGGGCCTGAGCCCCAAGGAGGCCGTGCTGCGCTTCATCAGGGAGGCCTGCCGGCTCGAGGACGTGCCCGTCCACTTCTTCAGGCTATACAAGGTCAGACCAGGCAGCCGCTGGGGGAGATGGGAGTCCAGGCGCACCCCAGATGAGTGGAGCCCACGGGCCAGGACACGGACCCCTGGACAGGACAGTACCCCGTGGTTGACCTGTGACCAGATGCTGACCCTGGACAGGACAGAGCTCCATGGTTGACCTATGACCAGATGCTGACCCCAGGGCAGGAGAGACAGTGCCCCCACGGCTGACCTGTGACCAGGACCCTGACCCCCAGGACAGGAAGGATGGTGCCCCAACGGCCAACCTGTGACCAGGAACCTGACCCCAGGACAGGAGGGAGGGTGCCCCCACAGCTGACCTGTGACCAGACCCTGACCCCAGGACAGGAGGGATGGTGCCCCCACGGCTGACCTGTGACTAGGACCCTGACCCCAGGACAGGAGGGACAGTGCCCCCACGGCTGACTGATGACCAGCACCCTGACACCAGGACAGTAGGGATGGTGCCCCCACGGCTGACTTGTGACCAGATGTGACCCCAGGACAGGAGGGACGGTGCCCCCATGCCTGACCTGTGACCATTGTGATGCCAGGACAGGAGGAACAGCTGTCTTGACACATGGCTGATGTAGTGTGTGGAAGTGGCGTCTATGTGGTGGTTTGCTGTGGTTCTACAGTGTGGACGGGTTAAATTAAATTTGTAGGGAGTGTCCTGGAACCAACCCCGCCCGGCATTCCTGTGGCCAGTGCTGTCCCCGCTAGTGTTGGGACAGGCGAGGCTGTCTGTGAGGGTTGGCCCCGGTGTCTTCCTGCCAGTGTCCACATAGGACGTGGCTTTGGTTCTGGGGAAGGCCCGACACATGAGGGAGCTGGGATGATGGCTTGTCGGGGTCTGAGACGCTCAGGGGTCTGGCAGAGGGAAAGTGTGAGCAGGAGGCAAGCAGGGGGGAGGTAACAGGCCTCCGGATCTGGAGGGGAAATGGGAGGGGCCGGGGGAGCTGGGCCTCAGCCGGGGGCACAGGGGACCTCGGGCGCCCCTGGCCTGACGACACCCTGCCCTCAGTGAGGAGGCCCACCCACCCCCGGCACAGGGCTCTTCTCCCCTCTGTCGTGTCCTTCTAGGATAAGAAGGAAGAATGGCCTACGATTGTGCTGGGGCTGACCCTGAAAGGAATGCACGTCTATCAGGTGACAGACGGGGCCCCGGGAGCCCCTCGCCCTCCTCCCTCCCTCTTTCCCTCCCCGCCCGCTCCCGCTCCAGGGCTGGCCTGGCTGCCTTCGTCTGGCTGACCCTCTGGACACGGCCGGCCCTGCTGTTCTGCAGGAGGTGAACCACACTCCGCAGCTGCTCTGCGACTTCCCCTGGTCCCACGTAGGGAAGCTGGCCTTCCTGGTGCGTGTCTGATGGGGCTGAGGTGGTAGCGGGGCAGCCCGGTGGACGCTTGTCCTTCGGGGATTTTACTGGGCCCTCTGTCCTCCGTGAGGTGCAGGCACAGCCAAGACCCTGGCAGTGGGTGACCCAGGCCTGGCACTTTGCACCCACTTTCTGGCTCCCGTGTGAAGAAGATAACAGGAAATGAGGAGCAGTCCCAGAAATGCACTGCTCTGGCCTCGGCTTCCAGACGCCCCGTTCCTGTAGTCCCGGCCCCACGTGGTCACCCTGGGCCAGGCTTGGCACTCGGGGTGGAGGGAGGGGCAGTGAGGGCCCTGGATGCAGGCTCACTGCCGGCCCTTTCTCTGGATGGTGGAACTGAGGCCTGGCGTCCCGTCCTGGATCACGTGCACCCCCACACAGCTGTCGGCCGAGGGGAGGTGCCCAGCCCTCTCATAACTGAGTGCAGAATGGTGTGCACCCCGCCTTACAGGAACCCTAAAAACCTACCTGCAAAACAGAAACAAAGGCAGCTTCCCAGTTTGGGTTATGGCTGATGTTTAAGACACTCTCTCCTGTCGTCCTAGGGCTTGCTTGTAAAATTACATCTTGTCTTTTCTTCATTCAGGGGAAGAAGTTCGAGATCCGGCTGGACGGCCTGCCCTCGGCCCGGAAGCTTGTGTACTACACGGGCTGCGCCTCGCGCTCCCGCCACCTGCTTCAGCTGCTCAGCACCAGCCATCAGCTGCACCTCACCCTGCAGCCTGTTCTGCGACGGCTGCGGCAGCTGGAGGAGGCCGAAGGTGGGCACTGTCCAAGTCGACAGGTGCCGACAGGCGGGCCCAGGGGTGGGCGATGCAAGGGCTGCAGTAACCCCCCGCGGTTCCTGGAAGTCCCGCTGTGCATGCACAAGTGTGTGTGTGTGTGTGTGCACGTGTGAGGGCGTGTGTGACTGTGTGCATGTGTGCATGTCTGCTGGTATGTGGGGGCCACTTAGGGGCCCTCAAATTGAGAATGACGTGAGAGCCTGGGGAGAATTATGACAAGGGCACATCTTAGGAGTATGCCAGCTGCGGGTGACAGGTTCCACCTTGGTGGCCTGGGCTGTAACCGTGGACACTTCGGGCCCTGATCTCTGGGCGATGCTTCCCTCCCCTCACGCTGCATCTCCTGGGCCTCAGTGCCCGCTCAGGGCATGGGCAGTCGGTAGGACCCCAGGGCCACCGTTGGCCACTTGGGGCTCCAGGAACACGGCGGCACCTCTGTCTGTCTCCAACGCCCGCTCACGTCTGCGGCCCCTCCTCTCCCTGCGCAGAGAAGAAGTGCTACCGGGAGTCCTACATCAGTGACTCGCTGGAGATGGAGACGGAGCTGGACCCAGCTGGCGGGGGCCCCCCTGGATCCCTTGGCAGCGGGGACAGCGGGAACAGTAGGCAGCGTCCCCCCCACCGCCTCTCGCTCCTCTGGGCCAACAGCCACGGCAGCTCCCACACGTCGGGCATGGAGGCCGAATCGCGGCCTGTGGAGCCCCGGGAGATGTCGGTGGACGAGCCCCTGGTGGTCGAGGCGTTGGGCGGGGAGGTGCTGTCCTGCAGCTCCAGCGCCAGCCACAGCAGCAGCGGCACGGACGGTGGCGGGCCCAAGGGCGACACCCGGGACCAGGGGGACGGTGAGTGTGCGGCCCGGCCAGTCCCCGGCTCAGCCATCACTGTGGGCGCAGAGGTAACAGGGGCCTCCCCTGAGAGAGGACAGGTGCATGTGACTGTGACTCCTGGGGACCTTGTGACACGGGGGTCCCCACCACCACGGGCAGCCTTGAGGCCTGGGGTCAGAGATGGCAGGACGGGGTCCTCCCTGAAGGTGTGGTGAGGTGGACGTCCTCCAGCCTTCTCTGCAGCTGGTCACAGGAGGCCCCTGGACACGTCCCATTTATGGTCCAGCCATCAGAAAGTGCCTCAGCCGGGTTTCTCGTGTTACAGTCGGATTTAGTAGAAGTCACACGACGAGAGAGCAGTCATCAGTCAGCCACTCCTAGGAGTCCTGGGACCGTTAGCGTGAGCTCCTTGTCCTCAGGGACGCTTCCACACTCGGTCCAGGCGTGTAGGGCCCTGAAGTAGCTCCGTTGCCACCCCAGGAGGGTTACCTCGGCTCTGCTGCTCCCTGAGCGTCTGCAGCACCCACCTTGACAGTGGACGTGATGAGTGAACATGGTGACCTCAAGGCCCAGCCACCCAGGGCCACCCAGGCCATTCAGGTCACCCAGTGTCACTCAGCATCACTCAGCCACCGGGGCCACCCAGGATCAGATGGTTTTGGTCACTCACCTGCTGCATCCACTTTCACATTCTGAGTGTCTGGTCACAGGTAAAGGATGGATTGGCCTCACTCTGAGCTTCTGTCCAAGCGTGTGGTCTGCACTCCAGTGTGAACAATAATCGCAATACCATATTTGCCCAGTCCAAGCCCGTTTTGATTAGGCATCAGGGCATCTGGTCAACCAAAGCAGCCATGTGCGGAAGGACAGGGCAGTGTGAGCCCACGGGCAGGGGTCCCTGCAAGGATGCGGCTGGGCCAAGCTCTCACTTCCATGGGCGGGGACCACCTGAGCGAGGAGGAACCTGGTGACCCACAGTGTGCCCCATGGAAACCACGGTCAAAGGGGACTCAGACCCCTTGCGTGGGGAACATGCTGATCACGTCTGTGATCACAGATGTCCTTCTGCCCACCACCGCCCTCGGGTGGGAGGCCCACCTCTCTGCGGCTCTGACAGCCCTGGGAGGAGGGGAGGCAGGGGCCACAGAGGTTCCGGGCCCCATCTCAGAGTGAGGGTCCCCAGGGGAGAAGCACAGTGAGGGGTGGGCTGCCATCAGAGAGGTGCAGGAGGTTGTCCTCCACCCTGCTTATGCCCACTTGCCTCCTCGCAGCCTCTTGCCAGGAGCCCCTGTCGGTGGTGCAGGTAACCCTGCTCAGGATGAGGGGCCGGAGCACCGAGGCCCTGCACCAGGTACGACCCCCACCCACCCCGCTGTGGGCCAGGCAGCCCCAGGCCCGGCTCCTACTCCCTGTTCTCCCGGCCAGCCCCATCAGGGACCCACAGCCTACCTAGGCCACCCGAGGGTCCCTGGGCATCAACCCCTGGAACGGGCAGTAGGGGAACGGGGCTTTCAAAGAACAAGGCAGCTCGGGGGCTGGTTCTCCTCGCCTCAGCACCTGAGTGAGCCGGCTTGTGTGTGGGGCTCCTTCCTGGCTGCCCACTCACTGCGTGGCCATGTCCCCCTCCACCATCCACCATCCAGGGTGGTGGGCACGTGTGTGGGGCTCTGGGGACTACTCCAGGTGCAGAAGGAGGGGCCATAGCCAGTGGTTCTGGGGTGCCAGGGAGAGGACGGGGTGGACTGGGGGTTCCCGGCCTGGCTTGGAGCTGACCTGGGGGTGGAGCCCCTGGCAAGAGAGAGAATATTAGGATCTGATTTGACTCACAGAGAGGGACGGAAGTAGACGCGGGGAGGGAGAGGGGAGCCGGTAGGAGCCTGGGCAGGGTCAGCCCCCAGCGGCTGGCGCTCTGGCCCCAGAGCCTCTGTGGGGGGGTGAGGGGCAGCCCCCGTGACCCTTGCTGCCTGCTCTGTGGCAGGGGCTGAGCTCCCTGCGGGTTGTGGGTGGTCTCAGATCTCAGGCCCTGTGGCACAGAAGCCCAGTTAGTTCACTTCTGTGTAGTGGGCGCTCAGCTGGACCCTAACCTGGATGATCAACGGCCCCTCCAAGCTGGGGCTCTGGACAAGTTTCCTCACACAGGAAATGGTGGGATGGGGGCTGTTCCTGACTCCAACGATACTTCCAGATCTTATTCCTGAAATCTATCAAGTAGTAATAATCCGGATGAGTTCAAAATAAAACAACGACCTAGGGACATGTGGCCCCAGTCTCCTCGGAACAGGGGGTGGGCTCTGCCGTGGGGGTGCCTCCCCGAATGGGTCAGGTGGCCCGCAGACACAAGAGCACCCTCCCTGCCATGGAAGTGGCCTCCGAGAGGGGACAGGAGGGGGAGGGCTGGAGAGAAAGACAGAGTAGAGGGTCGGCTCAGCCGTGTTATGGCTGGAACGAGGCGGTTGAGTAAGGACAGGGGTCAGGGATCTTCTGGGAGAGGCGACTCGGGGGGCGGCCTAGAGGACCGCGAGGAAGCCTATAGGCATCCCCAGCCGGAACAGCACGTGCCAGGGCCCCAGGCCTGCGCGCGGGCGGGAGGTCAGGTCAAGGGCGCTGCGGGACGGGATCCGAGGGGCCGGCCTAGACTGGCCGGAGAGGGGAGGAAGGCGGCTGCAGACAGGTCTCTCCCGCAGGTCCCTAAGGCGGAGGACCGGCCCCGCCGCAGTGTGGACGACGCGCGCCCGCTCGGCGACCAGCGCCCCACGCCCGCCCCGCGCAGCCGCCCCTTGGGGCCCGCGACGCCGCGCGGATGGACGTCCACGAACTGCCTCTCCCTGCACCTGCTCGGGCACGACCAGCTCCCGCAGGAGTTCGTGGTGTAGGCGCCTCGCCGCGCGGCTCCACCCACGAGGGGCTGCATCTACAGTGCACGGCTCCGCCCACTAGGGGCTCGGTCCACACTGCAGAGTCCCGCCCACGCGGGGCTCCGTCCACATGGCACAGCTCGTCTACACTGCACGACTCCATCCACGCAGAACGGCCTTGTCCATCCGTCAACGCGGTGCGGCTCCATCCGCGCCTCACCAGCCTCCTACTTCAGGAGAGCCTCTGGCCCTCGTCCTTTCTGCCCTGGAGGCTCCGCCACCCACCGCCTGGTGACCGACGCTTCAGGCACCGCCCTCTCAACTCCCGGCCCACTTCTCCTGCATCGCCTCCTGTCAGAGGTGTGGAGCCCGCTCTGACTTCAGGACTGGAGGTGACCAGTAGGTCCCACTTCTTGTGCCGACCATGGCAGGTCCATGCTCCTTCTATCCAGGTCTCTGGGAGGCGAAGCCACGGTCGGCCGGTCTCCAGAGGAGTAGGGGGTGGGCAGTGCTGGCCCCTGGGGCAGTCCTTCACCCATTCTAATCTGGGAGGGAAGGTGTCCTAGCTGCCCCCAGCTGTTGGTGAGACCCCTGGGGCTTCCCTCTGTCGCTGACTCCCTGCTGGATGGTCAGACCAAGTGTGAAAGCCTTTTGGGAGTCCTTGAGCTCAAGGTCATAGTCACTGTCACTACGCTGGCCACGGGCTCCCACTGGACCACCCTCTCTGCGATCCCTGCTGCTCACAGTCCTGGGCCCATGGACAGAGGCCCCTCTGTGAGGTGTGGGCCCAGCTCTGCCACTTCAGACGTGGCGGTGTCCACCATCCACAGAGTGCCAACATCACAGGAGGCACCAGGCCCTGAACCGCACAGCCACATGGACACCTGGTCCCTGTGGAGCTCATAAAGTCCCGCAGCAGGAAGCCAGAAAGGTGGCTGGGCTAACAAGCGAAGCAGCCATCTGTATCCTGGATACACCTCATTCTCTGCCGAAGAAGGCGCCCCAAGACAGGATGGAGACCTGCACAGAGCCTCAGTGTCTTCCTTCTTTCCATCACGAGTCAGGCTTTGAAACGAGGAGATAACGCCGTGTCCTTTTCCCACCTCCTCCCCTAAATATCCATCCAGTCCAAAGAGCTGTGACCTGCCGGCAGCAGGGGCGTGCAGGGCTCCCAGCCCGGGTCAGCGCTGGTCACCCTTTAGGGGTCATTGCCACTGCACCCCCACCTGGTGTCAGAAGATTGGATAGGAGGTGGGGGCACAGATGGGGCTAGAGGGGCCCTGACCCCGCCCCTCCCTCCCCGAGGAGTCTGGGTGGGAGACGTTCTTCCTCACTTCCACCATGTCTCTGGTTGGCGGCTCCACAGCTGCCTTCACAGCGGGGTGGAGCTTTATAGTTTATGCCGAGAGCGATTCCTGGAAAATTGTGCTTTGAGGGCCTGTTGACCTTCAGTCAAGGCCTGACCGTGGGTGCGGTAAGAGCAGGCTGTGCATGCGTGACAGCACACACGTGGCCCAGCCCCAGGGTCCTATTTGGGCTCGGACACACGCGGCAGTGTCGGCAGGCCTGGAGGGTTGGCCGTCGTTAATGGCTGTGCTTTCCTTTCAGTCAGGGCACCTTCCCCAGGGCTGAGGCAGCTCCCCTCCCCGCCCCCAGGGCCCTGTCTGCAGGTGGCCTTCCTGGAAGCAAGGGCAGCTGCTGGTGCTGAAGTCAGCGGGTGGAGGGAGCCGGCGCTAGCAGACTGGCGTCTGTGTCCCCAGGTGGAAGGCGGGGCTTGTGCTGCACCTTGCCCGCCTCCTGACCCCAGGTGGGCCTGTGTTCCTTCCACAGGCTCCAGGGAGGGCCACTGTGGAGCAGGTGGCACTCGACGGGTGACAGCGCCCTCCCAGCCTGAGGCTCGTGACGGGCACCAGGGTGTGGTGTGACCTAATTCACCTGTGGACCCCTCGGCCGTCTCCCCTCGCAGGGGATCCGCACACACACATACCTGCTGTCATCCTCATCTACACGGACTGACCTGTAGTTTGCTGTCAGCTCCAAGCACTCAATGTCCCTGCACAGCCCTGTGCCTGGGACGTCATCGTCCTCACTGTTCTGCTCGTGCTGTGAAGCCCCCGCGGGGCCGTGTCCATCTCACACTCATTCTGGAGATGGAGGGCCAAGCTTGAGCTGGGGAGGGGGCAGGGGTGCGTAACAAGGTGGATGTCGCCCAGGCTGGACTCTCGGTCCTTGCTGTGAAAGGAAGCCTTGTGTGTACATACCGGCACCCGTAATAAAGAACCCAAACACGCCGTGTTGGTACCTGAGCCAGCCTGCGCTGGGCGGGCCAGGGGGCTGGGCCTGAGGAACATTCGCTGCCCACTGAGGGCTTCACTCTGTGAACAACCACCGTGTCCTACCACTGCATGGACAGAGGGACATGGAGGGGCTACTAGCCCACACTCCGTGGAGCAAATATTTATCTAACTCGTTTCTTAAAGAAGCGTGGCAAAAAAACCCACCTCCATCTGTGGTCTGGAGTTGCTGAAGGGCAGCTCTGTCCTGGGGGACAGGCCAGGCAGAGGTGGCCAGGGGTCGAGGTGGCCTCATCTGCGCAGCCCTCTCCTCGTTAAACAGACGTCGCCGAGGCAGGTCATGCACCAGCCCTGGGCAGATGCCAGGCGGGGACAGCGCCCCTGACGTGGTGCACGGTGAGGACCAGAGTCAGCGGTGGTGTCGCGGGTTTCCTGGGCTGCCCGTCAGTGCCCTGTGCCGGAGGTACCCACATGCCCAGCTGGGCCGCCCCAGGCAAAGGGCCACCGAGGTCACCGAGCCTGGGGGCCACAAGAGCAAGAAGGTGAAGGAGGGGCAGCCGAGCGTGTGGTCAGGCCCTGAGGATGGAGGAAGAGCATCCAGACCTGTTGGGGCCTGAGTCCTGCCGTCCTGTGCGTTTCTGAAGTCGTGCTAAGACGGGTCCCCACAGTAGACAGAGGGCTGGGTCTTCCCTGATCTAAGCTCTGTGGCTCTCTTTCTGCTAAAGAAACTTAGGGCACGAGAGCCCAGCCCGACGGACCCATTTGCTGTTGCACAGAGAAGGCAGCAGTCAGGGGAGCTGAGCATCAGGGTGGGGCAGGCATGAGCTGGTGGGGCCAGGACCCACGCACACACACACCCACAGGCACAGGCGAGCACACAGGCACGCAGAACGTGGGTAGATGTGGCGAGTTGACACGGAGCGGTGGAGGGAGGCCTTCACTGGGTGTCTGCTTGGAGCCTGGCTGCACCTGTGCTCTGCTGGCACAAGAGGGCGCTGGCGGCACACCGTGGCTCCTGGGGTGGCGCCTGCCCTGGGGCCTGGACATGCCAGGAGGGGCCTGGACGTGCAGGGACATGGCCGTGGGATTGGACATTTCCGGGGACAGGCCTGGGCTTGCAGGAATGGACCTGGGCGTGCCGAGGACAGGCCTGGACTTGAGGGGGCCTGGCTGTGGGACTGCACATGTGGGGTTTCTGACCAGCCTCTCTCAGTGGAGGTAGGAGCCTCACGTCCAGGCTGCCCTCTCCTGTCACCTCTGACCCCCATTCCTAACTCAGCGGTGGCCAGCACCGAGGGCTGAGGGAGGCCGGGACCAGCGCCTGTGTCCTTGGCAGACGTGAGGCAGCAGGGACCGCTGGCTGACCCTGAGAAACCCTGGGAACCCTCCTGGGAGTTCCTGTTTCTGTCCTTCCTCCGGGCCTTGTGGACACGTGGAAAATATGCCAAATATCCCTTAGCAGCCAGGTAATCTGCTTGTTGGGTTAAGTGGGGAGGACAATTAAAGGCTGAGAGGGGCTGGCTGTGACCTCTGACCTCTGCCCCCCTGCCCCCATGCCTCCCTCCTGGTTCCACCCCCTCCCTGTCGCCCCCCACCCCCACCCCGGGAAGTGACAGCCACGCCTCCCAGGAGAGGAAGGAGGCTTCTTTGGAAAGTCAGAAAAACCACCTTTTCCTTTTGTGTAGATTAAGACCAATGGTCTTTTAGGCGAAAGTCATTTTCCAGGAAATTGGGTCTTGAGTAACAGGGAACGATGGTGCGTGAGAAGGCAGGTCAGGGCCGGCGGGGACTACTGAGTGGACGGACTCACCTGCACCCTGAGGCATGGGGGGACCACTCAGCAGGGGGGGGGGTGTGGACCCCCGGGGGGTGGGTGTGTCTCCCTCCACACTTGTCAGTCAGGTTCCCCCTGGGCCCAGAGGAATGGGCAGCTGGCTCAGGAAAGTGCGGGCTGGAAATGACCACAAGCCTCCCCAGCCTGGCCCTGCCAGGTTTGGTGGAGCCCCGAGGTCAAACCAGCAGGTCTATGTTCATGAGAACCCCCCAGGGCTCGTTCAGAGCCGACTCCTGGGCTGACCAGCAGGTCTTGCTGGGACCTGGGAACCTCATCTTTGACAGTCCCCACCCCGTCCACTCTGGGGTGTGAGCTGGAGAAGCACCGGCTGCTGCCCTGCTGGGATGTGGGACATAACATTGAACCCGGTGGCAGTTTTGTTTGGGGGGCTACCAGGGCAGCCCTGGTGCAGGGGGGCCCGTTGCCTTCGGGAGACCCCCAGCACGCTGAAGTCACGGGCCCAGGAGTCCAGAGTGCATGTCCAACCAGCCACCTTCATTCTGTGACCTCCTCTCCTATGCCCTGTGGGCCCCGGATCACCCAGCTCAACCACCCACTTGGGAGACAGAATCCAGGGTACTGGACGCCCTTTTTCCAGAAAATCCCGCTTGCTCCATGGCCGGGGCACCCAAAAACTGCTGTGTAGGCTTTTGGACTGGGCAGAGGAGAGAGCGGGTTGACTGAGGATGGGGAGGCCGTCCTCCAGCTGCACCCAGGAGACCCTGGGGCATGCCTCACCCTCGGGCTCTTACAGTGGAGACCACTCCCAAGCCGAGCAGCCAGGGGGTGCCCACAAGGGCCAGGGACTCTGAGGAGGCTGGCCTCTCTGTTCCACCAGGCAGGGGCAAACTGACCGCAGGGCCAGTGAAGATTAAGCTTTGGGCCCCATCAGTGTGTTCACACTGTTACATAGTTTTGTAAAATTTGCAAAACTAAGACTTTTTAACCGTAAATGGTTAAGGCCTGCTGTCTCTCCACCAGCGTTCGTTCCATCACCCTCCTGTGGTCACGGGTGGAGCCAGGAGCCTGCGGGCATGTTGGGATACAGCCAAGGGGAAGCAGCCTTGGAGACGCATGTAGGCGGGTTTGGTGAGAGAGGTCCACAGGGTCACAGTCAGGTTACCGCCAGCCAGATGGGGACAGCAGCCGCTTCCAGGAGGACCCCTGCGGCTGCCAGCTCACCCTGTCCTGGGCCAGAGGTCACATCATGTTGGGACCACATCCCCCGGTGCCAGAGGCATGTGGGGATTGAAGAGAAACAAGGCTGGCGACGCCGAGGCGGGACCCGCAGGACCACCTCCCAGTCTGCAGCTCCCGCGGCTCAGCCCTGGGCCTCTTCGTGTTGCAGAACAAGCTGTGAGGGAAAATGCCTTTAAACTGCCAGAATCAGGACACAGACTCCAGGCGGCCGTGTGGAGAGAGCGGGAGTGTCTTACGGAGTCACGTGACGACTGATCACGGAGGACCCAGTGGGGTCAACGATGACAGTGCCCCTCGGACTGTTGTGATTATTTGTGCTATCGGCAGGTTTTTAAAAGGTGTGTTTGACAGTTTTTTTTTTTAATTGATGTTTTAATGGTTTTTAACATTGTGAAATTTTGGGTTGTGCATTTTTGTTTGTCCTTCACCATATA